TTACATTTTATTTGATTATATTATAATTTATATTAAATTTTATTTATATTATAGTTTTTGTTTTATTTTTATTTTATGATGCATACTTGTACTTCACAAGTTAATTAAAACACAATTTCTTCTCATTTGATTTTATCAAATTTTATCGTGTGATCAGGACATTAAATTAATGCACTATATTACTTGGAATATGAACGTAATTATTTTTATTTAAAAATATATATTTTTTTAAAATCAAAAGTCTTACTGATATTTCAAATAATACACACATAAATAGTTATAATTATAAAAATAAATATATAAAAATTATTTATAAATTAATATATTATTATTATTTATTAAAATCCTTTATTATATCAATATATTTTGTATATCTATGCATATACTGTAATGCAAACAAATCTCATTATAATGCATTAAAAAAAGCTTAAAATGTAAAGTAGTAATACATCATAGTAATCTTTGTTGTTTGTCTTTAATTTACAGCAATTTAATTATTATAGTCATTTTTTGTCAAAAATTAAAAAGTGCAGATTGACGCTGCAGTTTGGGTGGAAAATGTGCTGAACTGTGTAAAACATGACCTGCACGTGTTTTTGTGAGACTCATCCATAAGCGACTCCCGTAATAATAGATGGTTTATTAATGACTGAATGATGCTTTAGAGGAGTCACAGCAGATATACAGATGAGATCCTGACCTTCAGGTCCCTGTAGACCACGTTTCGCTCTGAATGCAGGTAATCCAGCGCAGACACGATCTCAGCTCCATAGAAACGTGCACGATCCTCCGAGAAAACCCGATCCCGAGACAAGTGGAAGAAAAGCTGCGGGAGAAAGGAGTGCGGGAGCGATTAAAGCATCAGATCACTGTAAACCAGCTCGTCTGATGAGATCCTCACCTCTCCTCCGTTTGCGTACTCCATGACGAAACACAAGCGGTCGTGGGTCTGGAAAGAGTATTTCAGACCCTAAACAAACACAAACAACCATGCATTAAATAAACATGATAACAAATAATTACATATTTATATATATATACACTACCAGTCAAAAGTTTTTAAACTGTAAGATTTTTTGTGTTTTAAAGAAGTCTCTTCTGCTCACCAAGCCTGCATTTATTTGATTTGCTGCTCAAGAAACACTTATTATTATTATTATTAATATTTAAAACAGTTGAGTAAATTTTTTCAGGATTCTTTGATGAATAGAAAGAGCCAGAGATCAGCATTTATCTGAAATAAAAAGCTTTTGTAACATTATACACTATACCATTCAAAAGCTTGGAGTCAGTGTATTTAAAAAATAATAATAATTGGGAAATAAATTATAGAAATTAATACTTTTATTTAGCAAGGATGCTTTAAATTGATCAAAAGTGATGATAAAGACATTTATAATGTTACAAAAGATTTCTATTTCAGATAAATGCTGTTCTTGTGATCTTTCTATTCATCTGTGAATCCTGAAAAAATTCTACTCAGCTGTTTTCAACATAATAATAATAATAATAAATGTTTCTTGATGATGAGGAGGGTCTCACCGTGAGGAAGGGGTGTTTGGAGTTCTGCAGCACACGGTTCTCTGCGAGTGTGTGAGCCACTTCATCCTGAAACACACGCCACACACAGCCACTCATTCTCAAACATGTGACAGCAATACAAACTCCACTTCTACATACTACATACTTAAACATCTTCTGAACATTTACTGCATAACTCTTTTCTTCCACTCTGAATAGTGCATCAAAATTATGATATAAACTTAAGTTTTATTTAAAAAAATAAATAAATAAAAAATAGGCCCTGCATAGTGTCTTATGTCAATTTTATTTAGGTATTAAATTCAATCTTATGTAAATATTATTTATATGAGTTTTTATTTTTCTGGGTTCATTTCATTTGAGCTATTTTAGCTATTAATCAAAAAATTGAATTGAAATCATGAAACGTATGCAATTTAACAACAATCGGTTAAAAGTTTAACAAAATAAACATTTTTAGGGCACTATGAAATGCATTTGATTTTTTTCCAAAGTCTGTTTAATTTTTTCGAAATTTTAAAATATTTTGGATTCTGTTTTTTTTTTTTTTTTCATTTTTAATTAATTTTTTTCCATTTTAATGGTTCAATTAAATGTTAGTATTCCAAAAGCATGTCTAATTAATTGAAATCATGAAACTTATAAAATTTTACAACAATTTTGTTGAGTTAAAAAAATAAGAGCCCTCTGAAATATGATTTTTTTTTTCCTGTTTTATTTTTATTTTTTCCTTTTTTTCTATTTCCATTTTAATTTTTCATCTTAGTTTAACCACTGGCTAAATTAAATTTTAGCAATCAAAAAGCATGTCTAATTAATTGAAATCATGAAATATTTATAATTTTATTATTTTTTTCCCCCAAATTCTGTTTTATTTTCCCCATATTCTATGTTTTCCATGTAAATTTTTCTGGATTTTGTTTTAATGGCTTAATTAAATTTTAATAATAATTAAAAAGCATGTCTAATCAATTTAATTCATATAACTTTAACAATTTTATAACTTATTAACATTTTTACAATGAATGGCCCTATGAAAAGTTTTATGTTTCCAGAAATTAAATTTTTCTGGATTGATGATTTAATACAAATGTATTATCAAAAAACGGTGGTAATCAAATGAATGCATAAAAAAACGAACAATTTCATTAATCTTTTAAAATATAAACAAATTAAACTTAACAATTCCTTTTATTTTTACCAAACAAAGTGTTGCACAACAGAGGTTTACTGTTAAAATTAAAACACGGAAGAAAAGTTAAATATATATATATATACTAGGGCTTTGTTCACTGACGAGCTGCGCAAAACCACGTTCATATTCGCGCGATTTTTTGCGCAGCTCGTCAGTGAACAACGGCTCTGTGTAGTTAATGCTGCTCAATGTGAAAGCCCGCACGTGATGGAGATTTACCGCTGATTACAGAACCGGCTTTCTGACAAGATGTGCATTAAATATAGCATGCGATTTATCGTGCAGCCCTAATATATACAGTAGTTTTATCAGTCAAGTATGTCTGCACTTTTTATTTGTATGTCTGTATTGTATTATTTTTTAACATTTGATGCTTTAATGAGGCTTAGACCGCATTTCAGACACAGATCATGCAAAAACTACATACATATAACTTTAAACACTATTTCAGGAGAAATGTGTTTCCATTTGTCAATAAAATAATGATTATAAAACAGAGAGTTCTGGTGCTTGATTCTGATTGGCTGAGCCGCGTTCTAAGCTGTTGTAAATTACTCTACAAAGTAACACACCTTTGTTTACATTTGTGTGTTGCTTGGCAACCACTTTGTTGCAACCACAACGGATTCCGAGGAGCTACATTGTTTGGTGGAACAATACTGTTTTTATTAATATCATTACACTTTATTTGCTCTGTTTTATTTTGTGAAACCGTACTGCGTATATGGAATAACCGTTTTATAAAAGCAATAAGCCCCGTGAAGCCATGGTTTACAGTGAATTTATAACAGCTAAGGGGGTTTTAGGCACTCCACAACGCACCTTAGCTGTTATAAATTCACTGTAAACCACGGCTTCACGGGGCTTATTGCTTTATCAAGCACTGAAAAAGATGTTTAGAAGATCTTTAAGACCATTGCAGACAAAACAGCACTCAAAATAATGTCAGAAACACTAATGTTTCTTATCTTTGCACTCACTTTGGCTACAATCACTTCTTTCTTGAGGATTTTCATGGCGTAATATTTTCCCGTTGCTTTCTCCTTCACCAAAATCACCTTCCCAAAAGTGCCTTTTCCCAGCAGTTTGAGGTATTCGAAGTCATGCATAGTCTGAAACACACACCAGCGGTCAACAAACACCTGCAGGAGCTTAATATTACTATATCATAAAGAATAGAGTCTGTGAAGATATAAGCAGTGTGTTTGTACCACTTTGAGTCGAGGTTTGGTCAGAAACATCTCCATGTCCATGTGTTCTGGAGACGCGTCCATCATCTCCTCCTCTTGTTTCTGCAGACTGTCGGACACGGTCTGGATGGCTTTGGTCCATTCCTCTCTACACAACAACACAAACATGCAAACTAACGTCTCTTCTCTGCATTTTGCACTGCAGATATTATTGGCTTTTATGACAAACTGCTTGTGATAATCCTTTATAAGTAGCTTGGATATTATCGTAAGCTAATGAAAATATTTAGTAGCATTTATCTGATTTTACTAAACAACAGTACACCTACAACTAATTTATTTCAGTCTAGTTTATTTTTATTTATTATTTTTCTATATTTATTTAAATGTGCATACATTTATATATTATTTTATTTTATTTTTTTGCTTTTACTATTTTTTGTTTGAATTATATTTATTTTATTTTAATCAGATTAATTATATTAAATTCAAGAAAATCCAATATTTTTATACAATTGTTCAACAAATACATGATTTTTTCAAATATATATTTTTACTTATTTAAATGTGTATATATATATATATATATATATACTTGCACACTAGTTTCTCTGTAAATTAAACTGAATGTCAGAGCACTTCATACAGTAAATAAGGAGCAGGTATGCAGGTGTGAGTGCGTGTGTGACATCCGGGGAAAACCACACCAGAGACACGGACAGCGAGAGAAATGACGGCAGCAATCATTTATCTTTATCTGAGAGTTTCTCCAGCACTACATTACACACACTCAGTAGGGAGCGGCGAACAGGTGCACTGCGCTTCACTCCGCACACACTCACATGCAAACCTCATACAAGATTCAATATATGATGCACTTTAAAAGAGAAAATCTGAATGAAAACAGAAGCTAAAACCTATTGACAGCATGCCACAAAACATAATTTCAACTGGCTCCTCAGAATGAGTGCGATGGAAACAAACGTGAGGCTTTCTAAAGGCCTTTTTGAATGAATGAATGAATGAATGAATGAATGATGTCCATCTAAAACTAAACATCTAAAATTAGCACGTTAATTAAACGCCTGCATAAATTTTGCACACTGACAATTATTCAAATTTTCTTTCAATAATCGACATAAATATTGTGTGTAATAATAATAAATGAAAATGTTATGTAGTCTTAACGTTTGCTCACGAGATTATTTTGCAATGTTAGAAATTAAGTTTTATATCTAAAAGGCTGGCGAGATGCAAATTTTTTTTTAAATATTTTGAATTTTATTTTTATATTTTCTGTAACAAAAAATTCACTTTAATTTTTGTTACAGTTTTAGTAATTGTGTTGTGTTTTTGTCATATATATAAAATTTTTTTTGTATGTCTGTATATTTTTTTATTTATTAGATTCAGTTTGAGTTATTTTAGTACTTCAACTTAAACTAAATGAAAATGAGAAATGTTTCTAGGAAACTAGCTGAAATAAATCAAGTTTTATTTTTTTATTTTAATATTATATTTTATTTCTGTTAATGTTTATTTTGTTTCAAGTACCAAAAATGTTTTTTTTTTTAATGGTTTTAGTTTTTGTTAACAAAAATAAAGTCTACTTTTCCAGAACCATATTTAAAACGATTTTTTAAAACTATTTTTAGCTTGACATAATCTTAAAAATGCAAAGCTCATGGCAGAAGACGTCAGAAAAACAGCAAGATTTGATTCAATGGCCAAATGCATTCATCTTAAAAAAAAAAAAAATAAATAAATAAAAATGTTGATTATACACTGCCAGTCAAAAGTTTGGAATAATTATGATTTTTTTAAATTGTTTTTAAAAGAAGCCTCTTCTGCTCACCAAGGCAGCATTTATTAGATCAAAAACACATTAAAAATAGTCAAATATTATTACAATTTAAAATTGCAGGTTTTTATGTCAATATATGTTAAACTGTAATTTATTTCTGTGATGCGCAGCTGTATTTTCAGTATCATTACTCCAGTCTTCAGTGTCACATGATCTTCAGAAATCATTCTAATATGCTGATTTGAGATTTCTTTCAGAATTTTCTGTCACTTTGCATAATAATCTACATGAATACTGTGTGTAATAAAGTAATAATGTTGTTTACTCCTAGCATTTGCTCACAAGGGTGTTTTGCGAGGTTAGAAAAGAAGTTTGACATCTAAAAAGTTGTTGCAAACTTCATGCGGCCAATCTGATATTGACAATCAATATATCCCGCTTCTGCTTTCCTTTCACACACGGATGCCTCTGCGATTCAAACGGGAATGCCATCAGTTGTTAAAACCTCGAACTTGCTGCCGAAATAAGCAGCGTCTCTGTTCTCTGCCCTCAAAAGTGCTCACTCAAAGAGGAAAACTTACGCTTTCAGCGCCACAAAGCACAATCGCCTCCAATATCCAGCAGCGATTCTGCCAGCTCTTTCCCGCAAACATATGTCGCAGAGACAGCGTGGAGGAGACATGTGTCATGTAAGAGGCCTGTCGACGAGATGGAGGACCCGGGTGAGACCACCACTGAGATCCAACGCTTCAACCCGAGCCTCCATCAGCGGCGAGATAAATAATGAGGATCAGCCACTTAATAACCACTATATTTCACAAGTGTCAGGGAGGAAGCGTTCTCTTGAACAAACATTATGGCTGTCTAATTAGTCTGTTCAATCATCTCAACAGTTTTCGCAGCGATGGCGGGGCTTCTTCACTGAATTCTGCTGAGGTGCGACTGGAGGAGACGGCCCGGATGCGTTTAATATGCTTTGCACGTCCCTCGAGGAAGCAGAAAACTGTTTGAGTTGATGGAGGTCAGATGGAGGAACTAGTAGAAGAATATCATCAAGTCCAGTCATGCATCATATATTAAATTAAGCATGCACGAAAATACACAGCGATCGGTTTTATGTTTACACTATATTTATTGTCGCTTTTCGTTTCCGTCTATTTAAGAAAACTTTGACGCAGCTTTAGTCTTGTATCCATATAACGCATTTTTAACTCTTTGAAGTGTCATTTATCAAACTAAATGTCTAATATGCATTCATTTGTTTTAATAGTTTATTTAAAAAAACACCAACCGTGTTGCAAATTAACCTGAAATTATATATTTAACTTTAGCATGCATGAAACACACTGCAATCAGTTTTATATTTACAATATATTTAATTGTTGCTTTTCATTTCTGTCTATTAAAGATGTTAAAACTTTGCCGCAACTTTAGTTGAATATCCAAATTGTTTTTAACTTATTTAAAGTGTTATTTATCAAACAAAATGTCTAATATGCATTCATTTTATTAAAAAAAACGACCTGAAAGTATACACTTAAATAAAGCGTTCATAAAATATAACAATACTGTAATATCTAAATAATGCATTGTTTTTAACTCATTTAAAGTTTAATTTATCAAACAAAATATGCATTATATGCATTAATTTTATAAATACATTTTTATAGAAATAAAAACTACCTACCATGTCACAAATGAACCTGAAATTCTATACTTAAATTAAGCATGCATTAAATAGACTGCAATCAGTTTTTTATTTAAAATATATTTCATTGTCGCTCATTTCTGTCTATTAGGGATGTTAAATCTTTGCTGCAGCTGTAGTCTAATATCCAAATAATGCATTGATTTTAACTCATTTAAAGCGTCATTTATCGAACAAAATGTCTAATATGATTTTTTTTTTTAAATCTTTATAAATAAAAACGACCTACCCATGTTGCAAATTAACCTGAAATTATATATTTAACTTAAGCATGCATGAAATAGAGTGCAATCAGTTTTATTTTTACAATATATTTAATTGTCTCTTCTCATTTCCATCTAATGAAGATGTGTTAAAACTTTGGTCTGATTTTGGTGTATTATGTATCAGTTTCATAAAAATAAATACTTTAGAAGGTGCAAAAAACTACTTAAAATTTTGCAAATTAACCTGAATTTAAAAAAAAAAAATGCAATTTGAAAGCTTATTTCTGCCATGGAATAAAAAAATAAAAAGGTAATTGAGACTTTTAATCTCAAACGTTTTACCTTTTTCTGAGTTTATATCTCAAAATGCAAACTTTTTTTCTCACAATTGCAAGTTTATATCTCAGAATTCTTCTTTTATTATCAGAATTGTGAGTTTATATTTCACAATTCAGACTTTTATTTCAGAATTCAGGCGTTTCTTCTCAGAATTGCAAGAAAAATGTCAGAATCGTCAGCTAAAAAAAGTTTTTTTTATTCCATTCCGGAAATAAAAAGGTTCCATATCACTTTTTTTGTCTGTCAAAAAATAAGACTTTGTCTTACACTAAATTTTGTTTACAAAAATAACTTAACTGCATTTATTTAAGAAATTGCATGCCATTAGCTGAAGTAAACATGCACTGTGACAATGATAGCACACCACATACTGCCTGTCATAAAAATGTAATAATATCCATGTTAATTATTGCTGTTCACATCCTGTTTTTATAAAGTAATATGTAGTTTACACAATGCACATTATGCAGTAAGTATTACGCTATTCTTCCATTCAGTTTCAAGCTGCATTCATTCACACATGCATGCCACGGAGAAGTTGTTTAACGGCGTCTCCAGCTGATCCACGTCCTGCGGACGCTCCTTATATCCGATAAACGTACCGTCACTCTTCAGCAAGAAATAGCGCGGCCTCCACGTCTTTATGTACTCTCCTGTCCGGAGAGAGAAGACAACAGAAAACTAAATAAATACAGGATCATATTAACCCTATACATCATACAGTATCATATTTGATACTCAAGGCCTCTAAATGATCAACATGATCAAACTCTGCTGTTTCACACTCGATCTCCTGCATGTCTTCTGTCTCTGATCGAGAGTTTCGAGTGTTTTATTCAGTCGAAGCTCTTTCAGTGTAATTCCTGTTTGGAGCATTTCAATCTCATCTTACTGAGACAGATTATTGGAGATATAGAGCGACCGCTGATATTTATATCATTTTATGTCAGTATCTGCTCTACTGTTATAAAGATCTCGTTGATATACATCACAAGCATCAGAATTCCATCATATAAATATCAGCTTCTCCATCAATCATGTTTTAGAGTCTCAAATCTGATCCTCAGGATCTTTTGAGGAGCGTTTGTTTCCAGAAGCTTTACTTTCACTGTTCCTCAGCGGAGGAATGATCTTCACAAGCCTCCAGAACATCTCACGGTTATTTCTTCATCTCTCAATCACTGCATTATATGTTTGGATCATTTCAATCTTATCTTACTGAGACAGATTATTGGAGATATAGAGTGACGACTGAGATTTATATCATTTTATGTCAGCATCTGCTCTACTGTAATAAAGATCTCGTTGATATACATCACAAGCATCAGAATAACATCATATAAATATCAGCATCTGCAGCAAATTCATATTTTTGTTCAGTTTGAGTCTCTGAATAATCTGAAATATATTTTTTCTTCATATTCTCACTGTATCAGACTATATGAGCCAGAAAAGCCTGAAGGATCAAATATGATACTCAAGAAAAAAACACATATGTAAACTGTTTTATCTATATACCATTCCTTTTATTAAAAAAATTCTATTTCAAAAGCTTTTCTGACTATTTAAGCCATTATTATGACTTTTTCCTCAAAATTATGACTTGGTGTGTCATAATGACTTGTAATCTCATTATTGACTTTTTATCTCTACATTTTGACTTAGTGTGTGTCATAATATCAACTTTTTATCTCATAACTATAACTATTAGTATGTTAGTTTAGATTTTTTATCCAAACACTGACTTTTTTATGTCATAATTTTGACTTTCTATCTCATAGTTTTGACCATTATCTCATAATTACGACTTATCTCAAAAGTATGACTTCATGTCATAATTTAAACTTTTTATTTTATAATCATGACTTAGTATGTCATTTTTTATATTATCTAAAAAATGATGACTTAGTGTGTCATAATTATGACTTTTGTATCTCAAAGTGACTTATTGTGTCATAGTTATGACTATCCATATCATAGTTTTGATTCAGTATGTCATAATTTAAACTTTTTATCTCATAATGACTTGGTATTATGAGTTGTTATGGTATTATGGTATTACATTTTGAGTTGAAAATTATGACAGTCATAATTTTGACTTTATCTCATAATTATGACTGTATGAGCCATAAAAACCTAATGCATCAAATATGATACTCAACAAAAACACATGCAACTTTTTTCAATAAACTGTTCCATTTAAAAAAAAAAACAGATTTTTCTGGCTATAATTTCCCATTTCAGGCTTCACAGAGTTAAGAACATTTACTGAATTAGGAAACGATTGTAATTGCATATGAAACAATGACACAAGCATGCATCTAAATTTCGATGCAAAACCTCCAAACAACAGCAAAGCACCTCCGTTTCCAGAACAGCACACGAGAAAGCGTTCGAAAGCACGCACAAAAGCTGCTGCCGTATTCTGCAAGCGAAATCAATCTGTGCTGAGGACGGTGCAGAAATCACTGCACCAGATGTTGCGGAATTGGAAACGAAAAAACGGAGAGAGTCTGCAGCACGTCAGAAACACAGAGACAGTTTGAATAGTTATCCAGGAAAAGTGTAATTTATTTTTAATTACGGGAGTCGAATATTAACCCCATGCAGGGTCTGAGCAAGCTGTCCTTAATTGGCCCATTTCCTCTGTCACTAAAGTGTGCATGTGTCACGGCAAACGTCTGTCTCGCTGATTTTTAGCAGCTTTCGGCTCATTTGAGCTGTGACAGACCAGAGGAGCAGCGACTGGCCCGTAACAGAGCAACTACACATGCATTTGTCATCTAAACTCATACTCCTGCTGCTGCCAAACATGAGGATTTTACAGGCGCTGCACACAAACTTCAGATCACTTGCAGCTTTCTGAAGAGAATGCACATTTTCAACGATATCAACTTTTTCGTTTTTACTGGACCGTTCACATGATGATGAGCAGGCGAAGATGTGCTCATGTGAAGCTCAGTGTTGCTGGATAATGCTTGTGAATTGAATATACTTTCCTGCAACGGGAAATTTGGTTTGGACTTCATGAACAGCAGCTAAAACACAAATGCACTAATGATTTAAGCAAAGCCGTCTAGTATAAGGGTTTGTGAACCCCTGACGGTTTGGGAGTTGATAAAAAATTTAAAATTAAAATAAACATTTTTAAAATAAAAAATTGAAATATAGCACTTACTTAATTGATTAAAATCATAAAAATGTAAAACTGATATCATAAAAATGTTAAATAATACATTTCACATTAAAACAATCAAAACAGACTAAAATCGTAAGAATGTAAAAGTAAAATAAATAAATAATTTCCAAATAAGAGCAATCAAAATAAAACGTACTAAAAATTCTGTAATCATAATAGATATTTGATATAAAAAAAGTGAAAATACAACTCTAACTAACAATTACTAAAATCATAAGAATGCAAAACAAAAACAAAAAACAAACTCCTAAACCATGAAACACATCCTATAGTGGTGTGTGTGAGTGAGTGTGTGTGTGTGTGTACGTTCTCCTATAAACTCGAATGTTTTCCTGTCTCAGCGCTCCTTCCTCTTCCTCTTTCTCACACTCAACACTTCTTCTTCTCTTACACGTGCCTCTCATTTTGCTCAGATCAGTGATGCAGACGCAAACCAGGAACAATCACACAGCTCTTCATGCAGTTTTGCAGGTATTATATTGGTGGTGTCACATACATTAGCTTTAACAGACTGATGTTACTGCAGATGTGTGTGTGTGTGTGTGAGTGAGTGAGTGAGTGAGTGAGTGAGTGAGTGAGTGTGT